AGGCAGCCCTGGGGGCTTCATCCACACTTCAAAGACCTCTAGGCCGGGAACGCTTCCTGGGGGGAGGGGCAGAGGGATCGGGGAGGAGAAGGCGGGCTGGGGGATTGAGGGTGGAGGGGGCCGCTCCCCCCTTCAGCGCACTGGCCCCCTGGCCGACTCTTCCGCCGGGCCCGCCTCCTTTTCACTAGCACCTGTTCAACCGGAACATCAAGGGGCCAGAGCCTCCGCGTTTCTTTAGTACCTTTCATCCCGGAAGGGGGGGATGAGTCCCCGCCCAGGAGGGGGGAAACAAGGCGGGGGAGAACTTGTCCTTGACCTGGTCGGTGGCGTCAGGGATTTACTCCCTTAATCCTGGCGAGGCGGGAGTTTGGGAAGGTCTGTGAAGCTGAGTTCTGGGCTGAAGCCCTCAGCTCTGCTCAGTTAGGACCTTGGGGATCACAGAGGGTGAGGGGACGAAGAGACTGTGATAGAGTAGTGGACTTGTGGTCGTCTATCTTGGGACTTCTGAGTCAGGACACGTCGAAGGCCGGGATCACCGCTATGACGCTTTTTACTCAGATTGTGAAACTTGCTCATATGAAAAGTTAATACTCAGAAGAGAAACCTTACTCGGAGTTTTTAACGAATTACTTCTACCACCAAACTACAAGAAAGCCGCGAAAATGTCTGTCCTAACTAACTGCGCCAGTTTCAAAACGTTGGAGTATTTGCATATGAAACCTTTATTGTCAAAGTGGCCACTTTTGGGTTTCGCTGGACGAGGGTCACAACTCCTGGTTCCCTGTGCCCAAGAATTGGTGACTTGGGAACAGAAAGCCTATCAAGTCGAGCCCGTGTCCGACAAGTATCCCAAGCTTTCGGGACGGATAGTTGATGAACGATTAGTGGTTTAGGAATGCCGGTTTAATTCTCTCCATGATCATTTAAACTGGGCGGTAACGTCCTCCATTTTATGGATGGAGTGACTGAGGAGATTGCCATGGGTTAGATGACTTGCTCAAAGGCATACAACTTGAAAGCTACAGAGCCAAGATTTAAACCCAGTCTTGTCTTCTGGCTAAGGCTCTGCTACGGTGTCTCCAGCCTGTGAGAAGCTGAACTGCCCGCCCGCCTCTTCTCCACGCGATCTATTGCCAGGGCTCCCCATCTAATCCTGGGGAACCCTCTGCAGGCCAGGGTGAGCTGTCAGTCACATTCGCCAGCTTCCAACCTTTCTTGAGCTTCCACTCTGTACATATCCACAGAAAACGAGCGGGAGCAGGTCTCAACCAACAAGTGGTTCAAGTTTACAGTGCTTTCCGTAGCATGACTTATCACTGATTTGAGGTGTCACGCATATTCTATTCTGGCGGTGCAGCTTTCAACTCTTGGGCTCCGCAGGTCCCTCTGTAAGTGGGGAGTCACCCTGCGGTGTGGACCTAGAATACCTTCGTAAAGACCTAACACACACAGTAGGCGCTTAATCCCAGCTGCTCCTCTCTTTAGCAGCCCCCATGCGCGCCAGTGCAGGCGGTGAGTCCCGCTCCCGCATCTCCGCCTGCCTAGCACGTCCCGCCGCAAAGGGACTGGGGCAGAGAGGGCGAAACAGAAAATTATTTCCGCCCTCTCGGCCCGCCCCACCCCGCCCCGCCCCGCCCCGCCCGTCCCCGGAGCCAGAAGGGGATTGTGGGGCCGCCTTGGCCGCCGCCGGAGCCGAGCGGGGCGGAAGCGCGCGCCGTGCTGCTGCTCGGGCCCGACCGCGCCGGCCCCCGCACCTCTCGGCCGAGGCTGCGGGCTGCGGTCGGGGCGGTCCCGGGCCCAGGCGCCTGCCGCGGGACGCGCTTCCGCGAAGTCTGCCTCACGGGTTCCCGGAACGGTGCGTGGGAGGCTGAAGAGAGTGGCAGGTTTCGCTTTTTGCCCTACGTTTGCTTTCGTTGGTCCCCGCGGCCCGGGATGCAGGCAGACCTGGGCTGGAAGAACGGACTGCGCGGGTGCCTTCTGCCTCCTTTGCGAACTGTTTTCAGCCCCCAAAGCAAAGCTGCTGACCTTGGGGGGCTCATGGAGAGGTTAAGTGCTTTTGCGGGGGGCGGGGGTGGGAACCCAGCCAGTGAGTGAGAGGCTTCTGGTGGGGGTGGGGGTAGTCTGGTCTGGCATGGGGGTAGAGGGAAAGCTGCTGTTCAGTTGGCTCAGGTGCCAGTCTCAGCCCTGCCATTTACTGTCTATGACTGGTTAGAATACCTACCATAGCTGGGACCTTCAGTTTCTCTAAAATAGGCTGTACCAGCCCAGGGATTGAAATGGGCAAGTTGTACAAGGTACAAGGAACGGTGATTTCCCAACCAAAGGTTATGACCACTCGTGACCTGTCTTTTGGGGGGAGGGAAGATGAGCCAGCGTGTTCCTTCCTAAATCACAGGCCCTGTGCTAGATGCTCAGAGGCCCATCTGAAGAGGAACCTTGGCAGTCTGGGGCTTTCCCAGGCCTTAGGCAATGGAGAGCCCTTGCTGTCACAGTGCTCCTGAGTATGCTCTTTCACAGGAAGATACAGCACTTAAAAGAGATCATAAAGCAAATGGATGCACATCGCTTTAGTTTGCCAAACTGTAAAATAAGAATAGATGCCCCTTCTCCAACCTGTAGTCCTAGCATGCGCTTTACAAATCGAGTGACCACATCAGGGCAACAGCTACTTCCTCTGTGGAGTTAGCATGGGTAGGAAGGGAGAAAATTCTTAAGAATCATGAGCCCAGACTTCAGAACTACTTGGAATCCAGTCCCCAAGCCTTGTGTTTCTCAGTATAGCCTTGTGCAAAGCAGTTACTGTCTGACAATTGGTTGGGTGACTTATCTTGGAAGTCCCCTTGGACTTAACACTGTGGGTTGGTGACTGTTCCTGGGGAACTTTCCAGCCTACGGGTGAGCTGATGTATGCTTTCCCTACTGTGTCCCTCTGGGCCACCAAGTCTTCCTGAAGCTTTGGGTTCATGTTACAGTTACAGACAGGACAGAAGTTGAGAACCTTCAGCAAATACTTCAAAGAATCCTGGGCTGTCAGAGCTACAGATAACACCTGGCCTTGGGAGTGACACCGATAGACAGGATAGACAGACATCACTTATTCCTGATGGTCCGTCCGTGAGAGTGCTGTGAACAGCTTCCACACTGACTGGAGGAAGTGTGTTCATCGGGTCCAGGAAGGCCTGAGCTGGGGCCCAGTGGGTGAGCCAGGGTTCCTAGGCAGATAAGGGCAGAAGAGATTCCAGGCAAGAACTCACCCAGCATGCTCCAGGTGACAGAGACAGGAGCCCCCAACCCAGTGTGTTGAAGCTGTGTTTTGTGACAACCAAATCTTAGCAGATGTAGCTGGAGGAAGGACTGGGAGGAGTTGGTCATAGGCAACAAACAGATGAAGGAGCCCTGAGTGTCTTGTGGGAATGTTTGGGTTTAAGCCTGGGGGTGAGAGACACAGCACTTGGGGTTTGTAAGCAAATACGTGCAGGGAGCTTTGGTTTCCCAAACTGTAAAATGATGATAAGATAATTAGATCCTCCTAATTGTATGATTCAGGAATAGAACCCAGGGCCTGGGGCCTTTCAGGTCGAATGTGGTTGGCTATATATGCTCTTCCACTGTCCCCTCAGGTACAGTATGCTTAGGGATGGAGACTAGAGGTTAGGAGGTGGTTACTACAGTTAGTCTCAGTCTTAAAGTTCATGTAAATTCCCAGGAGGTTTACTCAAATGCAGCTGCCTATTTTTTTAAGTTTTCTGAGACAGGGTCTTCCTAGCTCAAGCCTCAGCAATCCCCTTGCCTCAGCTTCCTAATTGCTAGGGTTATAGGCCTGTACCACCAGGCCCAGCCTAAGGATCTAGCATTTTTTTGATAAGCTCCTAGGCTATGTGCGAGTGAACATCAAGGCACACTTGAATAGAACTGGGGGTGGGGTGGGGGAAGGGCGGACATGCAGGAGTCCAGGTGAAAGGTGAGGGAGGGCTCAGCGGACACCAGAGCAGGGAGAGAAGATGGCTGGGTGTAAAGGATGTAGAGTGGTAAGGGTAACCTGGGACCGCAGGGCAAGGTGAGGCAGAGGGGATGGGTCCAGGGTACACTCAGCAGTCACACAGGAATGGAGCAGCGTGACAGACGCCTACTCAGGGGTCTGTTGTACAGGAGGTGGTGCCTCTCAGGAAACACTCAGCTGTTCCAGTTGGTCTGATTCTATGGAAGACCTAAACTGGAAAGATGCCAGTGGGCAAGCAGGGTGTCACCAGAAGCAGGAGAGTGTGTCTCATGGAAGACTGACAGGCACTAAGGTGGTAGTGGCCACAAGCCATCCGGAAGTGGAAGGAAGGACTGTAGGAGGAGCAGGCCTGGTGACCTCAGCCTGGAAAATTCCAGGCTAGAGACTGACAGATTGAGAGGAAAGACAGTAAGATTGGGCTAGGATTGGTGGTACACAGTTGTAACCTTGGGAGGCTGAGGCAGGAGGATCACTGAGTTTAAGGCCAGCCTGGGGTAGAGTGAGACCCTGCCTCAAAAACACCGAAAAGAAAAGGAATAAAAAGGAATTGGTGGGGACCCCACTAAGGGGATGGCAACTTGGGAGGCAAAGATCTTTCAAATTGGGAAGTCAAGGGTAAACAGCCGTAGATAGAAGCTGGTACTGGGAGCCGTGCCAGGCCCGTGGCCCTGTAACCCAGCTACTTGAAAGCCAGAGGTGGAAAAGTAAAGGCCTAGCCAGGTGCCACACACCTTTAGTCCCAGCACTGGGGAGACAGGCAGGCAGAGCTCTGTGAGTTCAAGGCCAGCCTGATCTGCAAAGTAAGTTCCAGGATAGCCAGGGATACACAGAGATGCCCTGTCTCAAAAAAAAAATCTACAAATAGAAAATTCAAGACAACCTGGACAACTTAAAGTATCTCAGAAAGTAAAAAGCCACAAGGGTGGGACACGCTTAAAATCCCAGCACGTACAAGGTCCAGACTAGCCAGGCCTGCATGATAAGACTGTGTTTCTGATAGTAATTCAGCTGGCAGGGGAGATACTTAGATTCTGAAGATCACGTACCCAGGGTGTGTCTTACCTAGTCCACTCCAGGTGTGCTGTCCCTTAGGATTTCCCAGATGTGGGAAACTGGGTCGCGTAGTCTGTGGTTGTGGGAGACATCCATGTTCCCATACTAAAAAAGGGGGAGGTGTCAAAAGAGGGCTGACAGTTCAGTTCAGTGTCAGAAAGCCTGCCTAGCACACACAAGTTCCTAGGTTCAGTACCCAGTACTGTGGGGCGAGGGCAGGTGTTAGGGTAGAGACGAAAGTGGCTTGGGGAAGCACCACTCCTGTGACATGCACGGGTTATGATGGGGTGGAGCAGGCGCAGAGGCAGCCAGAGATGAAGAGCTGCAGTGACACTCTGAGCTCAGCCACGGCCTGAAGGTAACCAGAGGCCTTGCCTCAGCCTGAGACCAATACATGCACAGGTCCGAGTGCTGCCACCTTGCTCAGGCAGTGTACTCTGACCCCACCTGGCACTTACTGACTGATACTTTCACAGCCCCAGGGCAGTGCTTTTTATGTGCTGGGCCCAAGAGCCCGACTCTTGAGAAAATTAACAATTTTCTCATGTGGGAATAACCTACATGTGGGATGGAGAGGGAGGGCGAGTGAATCTATGGCAGGAAAATCAATTCCATTTTTGGGTGGCAGGGGTTTTGGGACAGGATTTTCCTGTGTAATCCTGCCTGCTTTAGAACTAGCTCTGTCGAGCAGGCTAGCCTCAAACTAAGATCCACTTGCCTCATGAGTGCTGGGATTAAAGGTGTGCGCCGTCTCATCAGGCTGTGGCCATGGGACTGAAAGGGGATAATTGACCATTGGTGATCACAGACTGGGTGACTCCCAGGATTCCACAGGAAACCTACAGAAGGAGGGGCAGGGTTGGCAGAGTTGCCAGGTTCAGGCCTCGGCTATCCCAGAAGAGAGTCATACATGTATATTGCCTTAAAAATTATCAGAAGGCTCCACACCAAAGCTTCCTACCTCCTCACGTGCCCCTGATGCTCTTTAACAAGTCCTCATGGAAGTCTTTTGGGCAGTGTTGGGAATAGATGGTGCCTGGAGCCCTGGAGGGGATGCGGTCGTGATGGGAGGCTGGGCAGGTGCGGAGAGGACAGGAGTCAAGGGTCGTGACATGTAAAAAGGGACAGAGGAAGGAGAACATGAGACATGTCCAGAGAAGGTGGAAGGACCCCGGGAACCCAGGACTGGGGAGTGGTGCGGCCGCAGTTGATTCGTGTGTGCCACAGTAACAGGGTGGCTAAGGGAGTCCAGACAAGCCTTCCCAGGGGCAGTCTGTGACCTAGAGAGAAACTGGGGGATGGAAGTCAGAGGAGGTAGGGTAGCGGTTTGCTTGGGATGGAGGGCTTCTTCCTGAAGAAGGAAGGGAGACAAATATGGCAGTAAAAGACTTTTTTTTTTTTACTTAGTAGCATATAATCGGTGTGTATGTGTGTGTGTGTGTGTGTGTGTGATTTGTGTAAATGTTGAGGCCAAAAGTCAACCTCAGGTAGGTATCCTTCCTCAGAAGCTCACCACCAGACAAGATCTCCTTTTAAACACACACACATGTACACACACACACACATATATATATATGTTAGTTTCTGTATGTATGTGGGTACAAGAATGCCACTGGGCAAGCGTGTTCGGAGCAAAGAACGATGGGAAGGAATCAGTTCTGCATGGGTTCTAGAGATCACATTCATGCCATGCTTACATGGCCAGCTTGACTGACACAGGGTCTGGAATTCAACACCTAGGCTAGGCTGCCCAGCCAGAGAGCCCCAGGGCCCTACCTGTCTTCATCTCCCCAGTGCTGGGATAGCAAGTGCTTGCCACCACACCCAGCTTTGTTCTTTGAAGATTTTTTTTTAAGAACATAATTATGGATATGTCTGTGTGTGCGCATTTGAGTGCCTAAGGAGCTGTGAGCCACTTGATGGGGCACCAGGAGCTGAACTCAGGTCCTCTGGAAGAGCAGCCAGTGCTCCTAACCACTGAGCCACCTCCCCAGCCCCACCTGGTCTTGCTGTTATTTTCTAAATACAGGTTCCAGGGATGATAGCAAACTCAGGGCTTCATGCTTGGTGGCAAGCACTTAACTCTATGTCCCCAGCTCAAACGTTCTCCATTATAAAGGTGTCAGGGTCTTGCTTTGTAGCCCCAGCTAGCTTGAGACTCCTAATGTAGACTGCCTTGTCTGGAATTTCCTGCCATTGTCCTGCCTCTGCCTTCTGCCTTCTGTCTGGAATTGTAGGTGACCATCGCTGTGCCCAGCTCTCTGCTTCTTAGAAACAAATTTAGTATGGTACAATTTATGTGTAATAGAACATACTTTATTTTGAAATGGCAGAAGCCAAACCCAGGGCCTCTTGCATTAGACTAGTTCTCCACCACTGAGCACATCCTCGCTCCCTAGAAGTCCACTGATGGAACGTTTACTTATGTGTGCCATGCTGGAGATTGAACCCAAGGTCCCGTCGTACTAGAGCTCCTCTTATGGAGTCAGTTTCCATGTCCCAGAAGTGGACACACAGTACATTGTAACAGTACAGGTGTTGGACGTGGTGGTGTAGTTTGTAGTCCCAGAACTCACGAGGCAGAAGCAAGAGGATTCTCAAGTCTGTGGCCATCCAAAGCTACTCAGCAAGATGCTGTTACAAACAAACAAACAAAATGCAGCCAGGACAGAATTCGGGCAGGCCTTTAAGCCCAGCACTCGGGAGGCAGAGATAGGTGGATCTCTGTGAATTTAAGTCCATCCTGGTCTACAGAGTGAGTTTCAAGACAGCCATGCCTACACATAGAAACCCTGTCTCACTCCCCCGCAAAAACCCAACAACAACAAAAAAGCCAAACATAACTATAATTCTAGTACTGAGGATGAGGAAGGGAGATGGCCCTGGATAAGGCCAGCCTGGGCTTCGTAGTTAGTGCTAGGTCACCCAGGGATACCAAGTGGGATCTTATCTCAAACAAAAGACTGGGCTTGCTGGGCCATTCCTGTAATCCATCATTTGGGAGGTAGAGGTAGGAGGATCAGATGTTCCAGATGAGACTCAAAAACAACAAACCAGAACACAAAATGAGCTCGTTAGGTGGCTCAGTGTGTAAAGGCACTTCCAGAAGCCCAAGGACTCCCACAAGTTATCCTCTGACTACCAAGTGCACAAGTGCAGGCATACACACGTACATAAACAAAAGAAATAAAACTGTGATGGGCTGGTGAGTGGTGGCTCATACCTTTAATCCTGGCATCCAGGAGGCAGAGGCAGACAGATCTCTGTGACTTAAGAGTCCAGCCTGATCTACAGAGAGATCCAGGACAGCCAAAGCTATACAGAGAAAGCCTGTCTCAAAAAAATTAATTCATCAATAAAATAAATTGTACTGGAGAGATGGCCCAATGGTTAAGAGTGCTTACTGCTATTACAGAGGACCTGAGTTAGGTTCGCAGCACCCACATGGTGACTCACAACCATCTGTGATGTGAGTTCCCAGGGCTCCAATTCCCAAGATCTATTTTTGTGTATATCTGTGTGTTCCTGCCAATGTATGATCACAAAATTCCTGTCATGTTCAAAAAGAAACCTGAAAGGTCTCCAGTAACCTGCTTCTCCAATCCCTCTGGCATATCCCTTGGACTTCATCCACACTGGGCTCTAGCCAAGCTGGCTTCCTGGCCATTTCTCAAAATGTTCCTCATCAAGACCTATCTAGACTCTATTTAACATTTTACCCCAAACCTGGTATGGTGGGCTTATAATCCTAGCCCTTGGGAGGCTAAGGCAGAATTGCAAGTTCTAGGCTAACCTGGGCTATAGAGAGGGACCTTCTCTCATTTTTTTTTTTTTTTGGTTTTTCGAGACAGGGTTTCTCTGTGTAGCCCTGGCTGTCCTGGAACTCACTCTGTAGACCAGGCTGGCCTCGAACTCAGAAATCCACCTGCCTCTGCCTCCCAAGTGCTGGGATTAAAGGCGTGCGCCACCACCGCCCGCCCGGCTAAAGATAATTTTTTAAAAGAGGGATTCATGTAGTCAAAGCTGGCTGATCAGCCTTCAAGGTAAGGATGACCTTGGATTTTTTCTAAACCTCCAGTCTCCAATTCCTCAGTGCTGTAATTACAGGCATGTACTACCATGCTCGGTTTTATTCGATGCTGGAAATTGAACCCAGGACTTCCTGTCTGCTAAACAAGCACTGTACCAACTGCACTACAGCCTCAGCCCATAAAACCAATAAAAACAGACTGCACTCCTTTGCTCCCGTTCCCTTAACCTCCTCTTCCCCCCCCCCCCCTTTGGTTTTTCGAGGCAGGGTTTCTCTGTGTAGTCCTGGCTGTCCTGGAACTCACTCTGTAGACCAGGCTGGCCTGAAACTCAGAAATTCGCCTGCCTCTGCCTCCCAAGTGCTGGGATTAAAGGCTGTGCCACCACCGCCCGGCCCCTTAGCCTCCTCTTATATGATTTCCTTTCCTGTGTGAATACCAGGAAGAGAGGATCTTTGGAGGTTGTGTATAACCAGCCCCATATTGCCTGGCAGGTACTAGATTCTCAGTAAATGTTTACAGAGAGGACTGGAAGATGGAATTCCCTGCTCTGTCTTCATGCCCGGGGCAGCCTGGAGGTGAGCATATCCATCCTGTCCATGGTTTCATGCCTGTGTGCTATACTCAAGTGACCACTTCCCCTTGGCTTTGCTGGTAGCTCCGCTCAGCAGGTGATATTCTTGGACCTATTCCTGCTGAGACCGCAGTGTGCTTTCAGCTTCCTGGCCCCAAGCTCCGCCTCCAGTTGACTTTTCAGTTCTCTGTGCTTAGAAACCTGTCTTCAACGATTTTTAAATCTCCCCTTCCTCTTTAAAGATGTATTTTTACCTGGTACACTGTGGCGCACAACTTTGAGCCCAGCTGTTGAGTTCAAGGCCAGCCTGGTCTACGGAAAGTTTCAGGACATCCAGGGCGACACAGAGAAACCCTGTCTGGGTAGAGTGTTTGTATTTTATACGTATAAGTGTTTGAATGCACCATGTACCTGGTGCTTGTAGAGGTCAGAAGAAGATGCTAGGTCTTCAGGAACTGCAGTTACAGAAGGTTATGAGTGGTCATGCGGGTTCTAGGGACGG